TCCAGGGCAGAGGGAGGACACGGCAAAGAGCAAGGGTGGCAGGGCTGTTTCAGAGAGCGTTTCAGGGTCCCTCCCCCATACACACCCGCTCTTATGAGTTGGCTTCTGTCTTCTCAAAAATGTACATGTTTAAGTCTTGATCCCTGTCACAGTGCTAGAACATGACATTGTTTGGAAATAGGGTTGTCACACATGATGAGGGTGGTGCTTAGCCCAAGATGTCTGGTATGTCCTTATTTTTTAAATTTTATTTTAATGTCATTTTATTTATTTATTTTTGCTTACATTCTTTTATTGGTACATTTTAGGTATACAATACGTTGACATTTATCACTGGGTGCTTGCACCTGTACATGATGTATCTTGGTTCTTAATTTTTCCCCCTTCCCCTGCCCTCCCTTCACCCTCTCCTCCCTTCCCTATTTACAAAGGCTTTGTTTCCATTTTTTCCTTTCCAGTCCTTATTCCTGATGTGATCTAAGAGTCACTTTGCAAACCAGTTCCAGGCACTGTGTTGCCTCTCCTGAAGTGTGGGCGACAAGTGTCTGTCTGAGGGTCGTCTTGAGGGCTTACTAGAGTCCTGTGTGGTGGTCTTGGGTTACTCTGTAGATGTTGGCGCTTACTGGTATAGAAGTGGGGGCTCCTTTGCTTATCTAAATCTACAGTGCCGGATCTGTTTCGCCAGCCTTTGCCCTTTGTCCTGAAGTTGTTCCTGGTATGTCCTTATTTAAAATGCTTTTCTTCAACATTTTTATTTTGGCTTTTAATTGGCACAAATATTTTATACATTTATAGGATACAGTGTGATGCTTCAATGTATATGTTATATAGTAATCAAATCGGGGTGCTTGGCATATCTTTCACCTTATTCATCATTTCTTTGTGTCAAGAGCATTCAAAAATTTCTCTTGTAGCTACTTTGAAATATTCAATACAATATTGTTAACTATAGTCACCCCCATTGAACCATAGAACACTGGAATTTATTCCTCTGATCTTTCTGTGCTTGGACCTATTGATCATTCTCTCCCTATTCCATCTCCCCCTACTCAGTAGGAGGTAACCACTATTCTATGCTTTACTTTCATAAGATCAACTTCTTCAGATCCCACGTATGAATGAGATCATGCAGTATTGGTTTTTGTGTTCCCAGCTTATTTTACTTAACATAACAATCTCCAGATTCATCTGTATTGCTGCAAATGACAGGATTCCATGTTTTTAAAGGCCTAACTAGCATACCACTGTATACACATACCACGTTTTCTTTACCCATTCCTCAGTTGATAGTCACTTGGGTTGTTTCCATTTCTTGGAAATTTCTTGCTGCAGTAGATCTTGGAGTGCACAGGACTCTTCATCATGCTGATTTCATTTCTTTTGAATACATATACCCAGCAGTGAAACTGCTAGATCACATGGTAGTTATATTTATGATTTACTGAGGAAACTCCCTACTGTTTTCCATAATGGCTATACTAATTTACATTCCCCAAAACAGTGCATAAGACTTCCCCTTTCTCTTCATCCATGCCAGTGTTTGTTATTTTTGGCCTGTCTGATCATAGCCATTCTAATTGGGGTGAAAGGTCATTGTGGTTTGAATTTGCATTTCCCTGATGATTAGTGATACTGTATATTTTTTTCATGTATCGTTGACCATTTGAATATCTTCGAGAAATGTCTATTTGGATTTTAGACCATTTTTTAATCAGATCATTTTTCTTCCTTTCTTTCCCCTGCCCCCTGCTACTGAGTTGAGTTCCTTATGTATTCTAGATAGTAACCCTAGCCATATGCATAGCTTTCAAATATTTTTCCCCATTCCACAGGTTGTCTTTCACTGTGTTGATAGTTTTGTTGGCTATACAAAAATTTTGTAGTGTTCCTATAAAAGGGAGCTACGTTTGTGTACAGATGTAGAAAACGTCATGTGAAGCAAGAGAGATGATGCTTCCACAAGCCAAGGAACTACCCAAACCTAGGGAGGAAGCCGGAAGCAGACACTTCCTCACAGCTGTCAGAAGAAAGCAGCGCTCCGAACACCTTGTCTCAGAACTGCACCCATCCAAACCGTGAGGCCATACATTCCTGTTGTTGGAACACTCTGTTTGCGGTACGTTGTTACAGTGGCCCCAGGAAACCGATATCCCTCCAGAGATGAGACCTGTTGGCGCCATTGAGGAAGACAGCTCTGTGCAGACAGGAGGTACTGCAGTTCCACAGAAAGTGTGCGAGACACCAACTCACTGAAACTGCTTCTCCACGGGCTACCAACTCAGTGAGATGCAACCCTTTGAGGGCTGGGGCTATGTTACCAACCTAGCTAGGAGTTAAATATTCTCTGATAGAAATTCTTTGTGGCACCTTGAAGATGTCAACTTTACTTTCTGGGACTGGTGTCTTTGACTGTTGGGATCCCTAAATTCACATTCCAGTATTCTGTGGTTCTGGCTCCATATATGCATATTCCACCTCCTTGCCTGGAAAGCAAAAGGGAAGGAGAAGCCTCACTCTCCCTATAAGTACGCAGTCAACTGTGGTTATTTGAGTCATTTAGTAGGAGGTAGGCCCCAAAGCCTTGGGGATAACATGGTATGTTAGAGGTCTCCAAACTGGGACTCCAAGGTCCTCCTGCCTCGGCATCTGCCTTCCTAGAAGCCCACTGTCCTAAGGATTGCTGAAGCTTTCTCTTGTTTTCAGGAAGGTACCATGCATGCCCCTGGCTGTCAAACTGGATGTGCTAGGTACCTAGGTTTAGAACCCTTCTGTCACTGCTTTGGGAATTGGAGGGACATTGTCTTTCCAAGTCACCACAGTATTTTGGGTACACTTTTTTTTGGTTTACTTTAGATGGATGCTCAGCCTTTCACTATTAAGAACTTTAATCTAGTCAAAGAATATTTAAGTGTCCTCCCAATGGCCACTCACACACACACACACACACACACACACACACACACACACACACAGCAGACCAGAATGCCCATAAAGTACACTTTTCTGGATCCAGGAAATAGATTCACACAGACCAGTCCAAGCCATCAAGGTAAGAATGAGGGTTGGAGTCTGGGGCTTTACTGTAAAGTGATTTAAGAGAGGTGGAATCTCTGAGAAATTTAAGATGAGAAGTCCCCCAAATAATGATGACCTTCATGGAACCTGGTACTGGGAGATCACCCCAGTCCCGGGGAGCCTCATTCTGTTATGCTGTTAATGTGACCCTGCCCCTCTCTAGGGCTCAGCTTCTCTCTGCTTTTCTTCCCCATTCCAGTTCTCCTAGTGTTTTCCAAAGAATGACTCTGGTAGAACATGAGACAACCTATTATTAATCTTACTCTGAGTGATACAAAGAGAAAAATGGAAACTCAGATTCCAGGGAAAATAACCCATGTTTCCCAAGAAACCTAAGACTTAATGACTGAACTAAACTGGTTAAAGTTCTACCAACAAACAGTTGTGTGGATTCAGCCTTGCTAGACACTGTTGGCTGTGTGACTTTAGACAAGTCCTTGCCTCCGTCTCCTCATTCCTGACATAGAATATTTGTGTGTGTTCTTTCTTAGGGTTGGAGTAAGCGACAGGACCCTGCTGTCCACTCTGGCTCCAGCGCTGGGTGGCAGGAGGTGGTCTCCTGCCTGTCCTGTCTCAGTCCCTTCATGGCTAAGATGAGACTTCTAGGCTAAGGATCCCTTTCACTCCATCCCTTCCAACTCCTAAATGGCTCTGCTTGCTTCTACTCCCATCCCGATCAGAGCCTATGTCCAATGTACACTTCTTCCTGAGCCCTTGAAAACCTTTCCTCCAAAGTCTCCACATGTTTTTGTGCAAATTTGTGCTCTAGTCTGCTTTTATAGTAAAAGTCTAAGTTCCCTCTGCCCAGGGTTATCTGATTTGAGATGTGTTCTTTTCACTTCTTATTGATCATTCATTGGCTGCTGTCACTCTTTGATCTTCTCTTTTCTTGGAATGCCACCCACAGCATCTCCCAGCCCCTGTCTGTCTATTAAACAGCAATGACACATAAACAGGCTCAGAGGTGCTCTGGCAGCAAAGGGACCCTGGGGCCAGCCTCCCTGAGCCCGGCGACTGTCATTCCTGAAGCTGTCTGTTCTGTAAGTTCTTCTGCCAAGTTTCTATGGGAGCAGAGGGATCATTTTCTCCTTTTTCAAAGAGCAGGGTGAGGTGAGGCCTCAAGCTTGCAAGTCCTTTAAAGTCACTTTCAAAAGAAACCTGAGCTGAAAGGCCATGCAGCTGGCAGAGGGTGGTGACTTTCTGAAGCTCTCTCTGGGGTTTTGGGTGGTCAGCTCTCCTAGGCCTCCTAGCACGTGCTTGGAGCCTGTTGCACCACCAGTGCCAAGGGAAGACACTGTCCAGCTGGGCCCATGGGCCCAGGAAAGGCTCCGCCTCTTCCCCCTCCCTCCTGCCACCCAGGAACAGGAAGGGGGTGTAGACTTTCTGCACTGGGCTGGTGACCAGAACCGAACTTGTCCTCCCTGTCCCCAGGCCCTGTCAATCAAACTTGATCCTTGGGGTTTTCTGAGGTAAAATACAAATCAGTGCCAAAATAAGCCACGGTCTGAGAACTTACGTCTGAGTCATGGGATCATTAGTGGCCTGGTTAACCCAAGCTTCTCACGAACAGGTTGGGAGGGGGAACCAGAAAGGACACGGTTGTGCCAAGTCACACAGGAGGAGGTGACTGAGTTGTACCTCAGGGCCCTTTGGACAAAGCACCTCTGCAGGGGTCAGAGTTTGGTGGGCCATTCATAAAGCTCCTGAGGCTACAGGTGTCTGCCAGTCACCGAAAGCCTTCAGAAAGTCTCCAAAGGACCTGAATGAAGGACCAGCACCTGAAAGCTGCAATGGGTGCAGGCCAAGGTCCCTGGAACAGCACCACCTCCTCTCAGAGTGCCTCTCGTGACAGTGAGAGCCAAGGAAGCCAGACCACTTGCGTTCTTGCCCCCCACCCCCCCCAGGAAAGACCCTCTGGACAAGCCGACTTTTCAAAGTTTTATTCTGATATTTATACAGCTATATTTTACAACACGGTAATGCAGTTTAGACACAGCCAAACCCTGTCTCCGGAGTAGTTATAACACAAGCATGACGCAGAATGGGATGAGACAAACACTCCCAAAGAGAGTTTAGTTAGTGACAACTTCAAGTCCCTGTGTCTGCCTACACTTCAAAGAGGGATGGCACACTCTCGTCCAGCGTTAAAAACTTCCGTGAAAAAAGGCACCGTGAGGACACATCGTACAGGTATATACAAACTGAAAGCTAGAACAAAATTACACATTTCTCCTTCTTCAGCTTTTTTTTGTTCTTTGCATTTTTTTAATACACACTTTGTAAATTGTAAACCTTCACTTGCAAAAAAATACAAATACACTGAGGCATTTTAGACAAAATATTTTCTTACTTATACAGAGGCAATACTTAAAATATTCTCTTAAGTGCTCTTTCTCAATAAAGATTCTCAGATCCGTGTCTGCCTGCAGATACAAAATCGAGCCTTTAACGCGGTTTTATATTTTAATATATCTTTTTAGGTTTATATATATTTATATTATATATATATTTATATATTTACAACTCTGCCATATATTCCTTCACCTTTGGTTAAAAAAATTAAAGCCCTCTCTTTGATAACATACTGAAGTCCTGTCTTTTAAAAGAATGCTCATTTACATACAAAAGAGACATCTGTTCCCACAAAACATATACATTCCTCCTTCTGCAGACTAAGTCAAGTCAGAACCTGTGCATACTCCCCTGTTTTGATCTATAAAATGATTTTGCTTTTTGCGGACGTGGTTTGCCGTACACATAGGAGAAGAAGCAATATTATTTTCTTAACGTTTTATGGCAGTGGGGAAGGGACGCTGCCCCAGCTCCCAGCCCCCAGGTCCCACCCCCCCCACCCCGCCCCAGCTAGGATTCGCACTAGTGGATGAAAGAGGCACTACATCATGGGATGAACGCTGTAAAGTGTCACAGTACCCTTTGGGTCGATGCTGACAAGGGGCTGGAGAGGGAAGCGTCAACACTCCATGCTTCAGCAGGCTTTGGGGAGCTCCGGAGGCAGGTCGGTGGTCGACACACGGTATTGCACCTTGGTGTTGGTGATGGCGCCATGCTTCTGGCGCAGGTGAAGTCGCAGCTGGCTTTTGTGGCGGAAATGCAGGTTACACTTCTCGCACTGGAGAGGCAGCAGAAGCAGACTGTTAGCTGTCATCAACCCAAGCCCCGGAGAAGGCGAGTCTCCCTGTGAGAGACTCACGAGGCTCTTCGGGTGCCAATTCCCCTAAGCACTGAGGCATTTCTGAATCTCTCTAGGATAAAAAGAATCCCTTTTTCCTTCAGATTCCAGATTTATAGCCTAGCCACGTGGCCATCCTTGCGTATTAACAGCCCTATCACTAAACTTTATAATCAATCTTTCTAGGCCTAGGAGAAAAGTACACAATGAATCTGAATGCATTTAGACAAATGTACTAGACCAGTCTGAATTCATGGATAGTCTAGACTCTAGGATATTTTTATCGTGGTTATATTCCTTGCTGGGACATATCTCTTAGATAAGCCAGAAAAGCATTAGCAAGTAGAGCTGCTTTTTACTTTGATTCAATGAATGCGTGGTAATACTGCTAGTGGAAAAAGTTACTTAAAAGTAAATTGGACTAAATGTAATGGAGTGACTCAGATTTGATCCCGGCTCCACAAACAGGCATTTTTAGGTAAAAACTGGGCAAATCCAAATACAGTACGGACTTTATTACTTTATTACTTGTAACAAATGTATCAAATGTGGAAGATGTCAATAATATGGGAATTTTCTGTATAACCCTTGCAAACTTTGTCTAAATCTAAAACTATTCTAAAATATTAGGTTTTGTAAACTATATTCAGATGCAGAATATGTTTTAAGGTAAAAAGAGAAATAGATTTAGAAAATTAATAAATAAAATGGGCAAGTCAGTGAGTAAAGAGCCCTGGTATTAGGAGACCCTGGTCCGTTGTTTGTATTGCCACCTACTGTTTTGGGTTCTAACCATGCTATTTCTCTGAGTCTTGACTCTCCCTTCTATAAAGGACTGGGTCGATAAATGCTGAAGGTCATTTTTCAACTCTGATATCTTCTGCATCTAAAATTCTAGCAAATCACGATATAGAAGATACTTGTTGCATGCTTATTGTATGCATGAGCTATCCTGAAGTGCTTAATATCACCATTCTATAAGGGAAGTACTATTTTCAGGTTCATTTTATAAATGAGGACATTAAGGCACTACAAGGATAAATAATTCGCCCAAGAACAAACAGCAAGCAAGCAGATATTCACTCAAAGCCTTATAAATAAGTGAACAACTAGATTTTGCAGGGTAACCTCTGAGATGTGGGTGAACCATTCACTCACTATTCTTGTGCTCATTCCCACCTACAGTTATGTGAAAGCAGCCACAGACAATATGTAAACAAATCGGTGTGGCTGTATTCCTGTAATATTTATGTTCACTGAAATTTAAATTGCATATAATAGATAATCTCACAAAATGCTATTTTTTACATTAAAACTCACTTTTAGCTCATAGAATATTAAAAAGCTAACCTGCAGGCCATAATTTCTGCTGTCGGACACAGTTCCAATGGCCTGGTTATAGCACTATGCTCTACAGCTGGCCCTCTCTACTTGCTTAAAGTTGCCTTTCTCTGTTTTTTTCTGTTTTTCTCTTAATAACATCACATTTTCCCGATTCTCCGCTGTAAGGCAGTTCCTTTTCAAACACTTCAGCTGCTCTCCAATGTACCTCTCACTCAGGGTACAGCTGTGCTGTAGGCACCCAGTAAGTATTTGTGGAATGAATGAATGCACGGCCTCTCAATCTGTGCAACCCTGACTGGACTGCTCTCCTAAAGCCAGTGCCTCTGCATTAACGAGACCTAGGCTGAAGTCAAGCAGGCTGTTTGATAATCAGCCCCCGGCCCATCCTGGTCCCCCAAACCTCACTGTGTGCCTGAGATTGGAGCCAACAGTCCTGCTGCTGCCCCAGGCCCCCGCTCCCCGGCCAGCCGCAGGAGGCTTACGTACGTGGTAAGGTTTCTCTCCCGTGTGGATTCGCAAGTGGCTCTTCAGAGTCTGAAGGTGCCGGAAGCGGGTCCCACAGATTTCACAGGGATAGGGCTTCTCCCCGGTGTGGATGAGCACATGGGCCCGGAGGTGGGCCACCTACGGAGGAACACAGCATGGAAGGCTCTGCTGGGCTGCAGACCCTCCGCCCGCTCACTGGCAGAGCCCCCAGGCCCGTTCACCACGCTGCTCCGCTCACCTGCACGAATCTGGCTCCGCAGGTTTCGCATTTATAGGGCTTCTCTCCAGAGTGAATCCGAGTGTGGGTTTTCAGGTTGGCTGGCCGGTTAAACTGGGCCCCACAGATGTTGCAACGGTAGGGTTTCTCACCTATTATCAAAAAAATAGAGGAAAAAGGAAAGGCATGTCAACAGGAAAGGTCTCTGATGGATTTCAGGCAAACTCCCACCCTCTGAGGCTGCCTGCGCTTTTCTTCCTCTTAGGAGATGTCTGACAGCAGACAGTCCAGGCATCTGCTCCTGGCTGGCCACCTTCCTCACACACATACTGGCCCCACCTGCAGGGGACCAGGCCCAAGGAATAAGCAGTGGCACGATGGGGAGGAATGAGGCTGGGCATGGGATGAGAGGGGGCAGACTCCAGGGATCCCGGGCTTCAGAACCGGTGCCGTCACCAGGGTCACCTGCCTGCAGGACTTGGGCAAGATACTGCCTTTCTCTGGGCCTCAGTGTCCCTCTCTGGATGTGCGAGGTGAATTCCGATGACTGGGAAGGCTCTTCTGCCCCCTCCATGGGATAAGACTGATGCCACAGCCCACTCACTCAGCAGGGAGATGCACTCAGCCTGCTCTAGTTTCTCCCTTTCAGAACAAACGTGCTTTTCTGCCTGTGGCGACTACAGCTGTATTCCATTTGCAAGTGGGGTGGGCTCTGGGTCTGAGGAGAGGCTCAGGCAGAGGAAACCAACCAGAGACCTGAGCCTTCCTCTATGGAAAGTTTCTGGGATGAGGAGACCCCTGAAAGATCGAAGACAGTAAACTGTGGACAGCAATCAGGTGGTAAGGAGTTACTGGGTAAGGAATGTGAATTGATACGAAACAAGTCCCTGGAAGACATTAAAGGGACTTTCACTTTTTCCTGGCTTTCCAAAAGCACACCACTTAGTCTCTGTCGGCCTCGGTTTCTTCTCCTGTACGACGGGAATAACCCTTCTGACCCCAGCAAAGGCAGAGAAGCAGGACAGAATCTCAGAGGAAAGACAGACTATGGGGAGTGGACAATGCCCTCAGCAAAATGGGACAGGTCTGAGCCTCTCATTTGGGCCAGGGCCGGGCCTGCTCCCTGCCTTACCCAAGCAGGCCCAAGGCCCCATGCTGCTGGCTCTAGGAAGCTCTGGCATCCTCCCCTAAGGACCCTGGAGCACTCAGGTGGAGCGGGCCATACCCGTGTGGACGGTCTTGTGGCTGGCGAGGTTGCCCTTGTAGCGGAAGGAGGCCTGGCAGCGGTCACACTTGTAGGGTTTGTCACTGTGGGTCTGCAGCGTGTGCCTCTTGAGCGAGGCTTCCTCAGAGAAGCGGCAGTCACATTCATTGCAGAAGAAGGCCCCGTTCTCTGTCGGGGGGCAGAGGGACACCACTTCAGTATGAGGTAAGGAGGGAGGTCATAAGGCTCCTTCCCCTGGAGCTGCCCTAGTGCCAAGCAGAGCCCCAGAGCTCCCAACTAATGCTCATGGGCTCTCAGAGAAAAGGGCCAATGGAATTTTATATTTTTCTTAGCATTAAGATTCTCATGCATGGAGGAGAAAGGAGGCAGCCTGAACATTAAGGCCGAGAAGAGCAGTGCAAACCAATGATGTTCAGATGGCCTATGCCAGTTTGCCGGAGGCTCAACAGCTTTTCCTTCTCCCAGGACCTCTGAGAGCTCACTTTTCTTATCAGCGCAGAGTTTGTTCACCTTCCAACTCAGAAGCTCTGGGCCAAGGCCCTTGACTTCTCTGAGCCTCTCTGGGCTCTCTGTCTCCAAAGTCAGAGTAATAAATCCCTCCCCTGCCTGCCTCACAGGAACATATTATGTAGCACAAAATAAAACACAAAGCATTACGGGGATGTGAGGTATAGGTCAAATCCTGGTGTACTCTGAGGTCACTGAAGTAGGAGTCAATGAGGAAGACTCCACGGTCATCCTTACACCTATCTGGATTTTATGTCTCCAAAACACTTCTGTGACACTGGGAGACTAAAGATGACAGTGGAAGTAAAAAGAGGCTCAGAGAAAAAGGAACTGGAATGCAGAGCAAGGCACAAGGCTGGGGGACAGAAGGGGACAGTCCCTGCCCCCCCCCCCGACTGAAGATCTGTAATCTGGGGCCAAATCTCTCCAAATAAGCAACTGATTTCTATTTTTTCTTGCTAGAAATATTTGAAAATGGCATGCCATGGTGAATTAACCCTGATGATGTCTGACTGGGCCATAACGCAACAGCCAGTGTGGGAGAAGAGTTAAACCCAAACTGAGGACCACCAACTGTCCAGAACCATTAATTTAACCATTTGGTTCAACTAACTTCACTCAGCTGCCTCCTGCACCCGAGGGACTCACTAGGACCCGCAGAGAATGCCGGAAGGACTGAGGTCAGATGCTTCTCCTCAGAGAACCCAGAGCCTAGCATGGCAGACAGGGCAAGCTCTGGAAGCAAGAGCCAGCTTCCCAGCTGCCTCTGCTTTTTCTTTTGTTTTGATCACACCAGAGTCACTCCAATGCCCCATCCCCGGCTCTGGCCAACCATTTCCTGAGAGGGGAGGAGCAGGGTCACCCACTGGGGATGTTATGTGCCAACGGATTTCTATTCCAGCACTTCTCCCGGTTAGGGAAAGCAACACATATAAAATGGAAACACAAAACCCCGGGCGTTTCCTTCTCCCCGACAAGCAGAGGTGGGGGAAAGGGACTCACCGCAGCTGGAATCCGAGTACTCGGACTGCGTCTCTCCCATCTCCTCGGGGAACGTGGGGCCGGCAGTGTGGAGGCACATCTCTGCGTGCTGTGGGGACTGAGAGCCGCAGGACGTGCACTTGGGGGGGTGCAGGTAGAGCGGCGAGTGGCCCTCACTGCTGCTGCGCGGAGAGCCTGTCAGGGACCTGCGGGCAGGAGGGAAGACAGCCTCAGCACCCCGGCAGGGTGAGCCCACCCACCTCTCCTCCCTGCACCCTTCCCTCTCTGCGTCAGGCAAGCCCAAGGCCCTGGGGCTCCCAGCCACCCTCCAGCCTGCCTCCAAATAGCATCTGCAGGGTCAAACTGGGCCCAAACCCTTCTCTTGGGCCCAGTTTCTTCACCGAGGTACTGCAGCCAACACCTCGCTCAGGATAAGGGAAGCAGGAAGATCCCTGGTCATTATCAAGACCACAGGAAGTGCCTTTGGAATTTGTGGAAGGCTCTTATACCACAGAAGGGAATGATCTCTTGCTGTAAAAACATACTTAAGTGTAACATACTTCCTTACTTAGGCTAATTCATCCGGTAGGCACTGATTGCACTGCTTCAGGAGGCTCAGTGTTTTAGGCAGAAGAACACACGCAGTCCCTGTACCCATCACAAGCTCTAAGCCCAGACCTCTGCCTGGGTAATTGCTGAGCTCAGTCCCTACCAGCCTGTGAAGTCACCTGTTCACGATGTTATTGAGCCGGCTGGCTTGGGGGATGGTGGAGTCTTCCCCGCTGGCACTGAGCTTGGTTGGGGACTGGAGGTCAAGGTTCTCAGGCTCCATGGGTGGCTGGCAGACAGATGGGGCAGTGTAGGCTCTCGGGGAGAGGTGGCCCAGCTCAGCCTGCTCAGGCCCCTCTGGCTTGGCATTCTGGTTGAGACTGTTGAGCACAATGAACTTGTATTTCTTCCAGTTGCAGGCTTTGGGGTCAGTGGGACTCTTGGCTGGAGGGGAACCAGAGGCCTGAAGGATACAGGCATTCTTGCTGCTGCAGGACTCCGTGGGTGAGTTGGGCTGGCAGTCGGATTTCTGCGGGCTCTGGGGACTGACCAGGCCCTTCCGGTTCAGGGGTGCACTGGGGGGCTCAAAATGCAGACCAATCTCATCCTCTGAAGAGGGTCTCTCTTCTTCTTTGCTGGCCTTGTCACAGGAAAAGTATGGGGCATTCCGGGCCGAGGGGGCAGCAGGCTTGGGGCCCTCAGCCACACTGTAGTGCACGTCGCCTCGTGCCTCCTCTGGCACTGCCTCCTTGGGCGAGTAGAGGCTGCTGTGGCACATGCTGGGGGACGCCTCCAGCGCCGGCCGGCTGTACTCACTAGGGACTGGCCTGGCACTATCGCAGGGGAGGGCACGCTCCTTGGGGAAGGGGTTGGCCACAGGCATCCGAGCATCTCGAAGCTCCTCATCAGAAAAGAGGAAGGGGCTGACTGGGAGGTGGCTGTACATGGCGTAGGAGGCTGGTGGTGTGGACAGGCCACCATACAGGCTGGGAGCAAAAGCTCTGCCCTCACACCCAGTGGGGTTCCTCAGTGGCAGGCTGTTCTCCACCACTTCCCGACCCCGATAGGCCATGATGTCTTGGGGCATCAGCATCCGGCTGTTCAGGAACTCTTCACGAGAAGGCTTGATGGCAGAAACCATCTCGGCTTCACTGTGGGAGAAAAACACCGGGCACAAAATCAGCACCATTAAGCAAATGACCTCCCACTGACACTGTTGTGTAATCACATCTGTGCCTGAGTCAGGGAGAAGTAGGGGATGTGGCTCTGGACTAGGAAACGCAAATAGAAGACACAAACATCTACCCTACAGTGGGGGGGAACTGAGGCCTAGGGAAGGGAGTAAGTTATCCAATCTGTGCTGATGAGACATGGTTTTTGAGTTTAAGGTACATCTATGCTCATGTCTGTGAACCTGTAACTCTTCTGATGTTACAGAATTCAAGGGCTTTCAGACCCCTTATCTTACTCAGTTCATGCGTGCAAAATCCTGCAAGGAAGGAAAGGCAGGAATTTTACACACATAGAAACAAGGAGGGAAGAATTTACACAGTATACTTTCAGAGGGTCATAAACAAACTAGTTCCCTATTAAAGAAAGAACCTGCCCCATATGTTAGACAGCTTCGTGGGGAAGTTTATGATGGAGAACAGGCAGGAAATGCCAGTGCAAGAAGCCCTGGTCTGCAAACCCTCCTGTGCTATTTAGTAGCTGTGGGACCCGGAGCGTGTTACTTAACCATTCTCAGCACAGGCCTGACCTGTAGAAAGTACCCATAAATGACAGCCACAATGACCTCACTACCATTATCATCCACAGGAGACAAAAGACTCTGCGTGTAGACACTTGAAGGGACATTATTATGTGGGGGAAAAAATAGGCCAGCTCAACAGGCTCACAGTTAACAGAGCTAGAACGGGGGAGCAAAAGTTAAGGGAGGCAGATTTTAACCTGCGACAAAGAGGAGCTTTCCGACTCTCCAAGGGCGCTGTGCATCCCTGGGAACACTGAGTTCTGGACTCAGATCAAACTAGGCTGGAAAACCCTTCTGTGGAGTAAGGGTGCACGCTCCCCAGGGCAGCTGGGTCAAATGGTTCAGAAGAAATTAAGCCCCCAATCTCTGTTCCACTCAGCAAAGCTCTTCACTTCTTTGTACTTGAGGTTCCTCACCTTCCAACGAGGATTATGTCTTACCTTCCCTTGGGTAGGAGCTTGGACCCAGTGAACCCAATTTAATTCCCTATGTGTCCTCCCTAAGTAGCAGCTGGGACGTAAAAGATGAGTAAGGCAGCCCCAGAGTGTGGTAGGGAACTAAGGACTAAGGTACGTGTATAAATAGTTGTGACAGAAATCTAAATGAGAACTAAAATATATATGCAGATAGTAAAAGAGAAAAACGGTGTAAGAACAAGCAGAGTGCTTCAGACCACAGAGGGAGAGCTGACAGAGGAAAAGTGGTAATCAGAAAAACATGGAGGAGCAAGTATCCAACCTTGATCTTGCAGGATGGAAGAGAAGAAAAGGCATATTAAATGATTTGAAGGGAACAAAGGGGGCAATGCACAGGACATATCTCGACAGCTGTGGGGGAGTTAAGTCTGCCTAGAAGGCAAGAGTTAAGAAGGGCAGAAGTGTGCAATAATAGTGGAATGTAGGCTGTGGCATAGCATGGAGAACTGTGTTTTTGCACATGCAAGAGGTATCAAGGCTTCTGCCTAGGTGGCAGCTTACCTGGCCTTGATAAACTTCCGGCAAGTGTCCACGACGTGCTCCATCTGCAGGTACATAGCGGTAGCCATTACAGCCATGATGTTGCCTTCCCGCAGGTTGAGCCGAGATGTGTACATGAAGTCCAGGAGGATGCAGAACCCCTCGGGGTTGATCTCGGGATCCAGATTGATCACACTGAGGTTGCACTTCAGCTGGTCTGTGAAAATGCTGTAGAACAGGCCGCTGTAAAACAAACACATGATCCGCTCTTGTGGACATGGTAAATCTGTGATCATCCATAGCTACTCAGTTCGTGTCCCAGGGCTTCACTGCAGCACTTTCACAGCAATTAGTAGTAACTTGCATTTATGGAGCACATACCAAATGCCAGGAATTCCGTAAGTCTTTTGCGTATGTCATTATCCTGTGTTCCTGTAAGGTGGGCGCTACCGCTCTCTGCCTTTTTGTGTGGGACAACTAAGATCTCAGAGGCTAAGTAATAGGCTCAAAGTCACAGAGCTTGTTTTCATTTTAGTCTTCACTGCGTGGATTGGCAGAGTTAAATTTAGTACACATTCGCAGTAACTATTCTTAGTCTGTATCTTTGGTGTAAGTATTTCCCTTCTTGTTGTACTGCATTATCTTTCATTTTAAAAAATCTATTTTTTAGGAGTCAGTTGGATATAGATGTCAAATAAATAAAATGCCTAGAACTACACTTTACCACTTTTCTCCAAGTCCACAGACAATCAGAAGAAGGTCAATTATTCCCAGCAGATTCCAGTAGAAACCTCAAGCCAGGTACCAAGCTTTCGAGTGGAGACACCTGGTACTCAGCTGAAGAAGGTACTGAACTGAAAGCTAAAATTCTAGGTCGTCCTCTCATCTGTACCCCTTCTAGATGGGTTACTAAGATGAGGTGGACTTTCACCAATAAATAGCTGTACAACCCTGGCTAAGACCCTTAACTTCTCTGCATCTTGGTTTCCTTACCTGCAGATAAGCAGGAATAATAGCGCCTGCCTTACAGGCTTGTGGCAATAAAGAAAATGTTACAGGGATAGAAGGATGCCTGGGCCGAACTGAGCACTCGCCAAACATTAGCTATTATTTTTATATCCCTGCAATCCTCCATTCTCTCCATTACTTAAAAGAAAGTATTCATAAAAGTTGGATAAGTTTTACAACCACAATAGGGATCTCTTGATCTACATCATTCTACCTGTACCTTGCTTTTGTCATCTGTAAAACGGAGATATAGTGCACCTACAGCAAAGAAAGCTACCAGGAAGGTGTAGGGAGACGATTTAACATAATGTTGCTCTGAAAACTTGAACGACTTGTCAAATATGAAAAATTAACTTTCTCTAACTCCTAATGTATTCTGAACACCCATGGAGATACAGTTACAGTATAAAATATATATAGTTACAGCATGAAAGAGCAAGAAATCTCAGATTAATGTGCTTACTCTAGTTCAAGATTCTTTTTTTCTTTTTTCTTTCTTTCTTTTTTTTTTTTACTGGCCAACTGAAGTCATTCTCCCTGTTTGTCCCAAACACATTCTTTCTTGAGGCGGTCTATGATCTCTTCCCCTGTCCTGCCCACAGAATAGAAACTCTTTTCCTTTCTAAAAGTGTATTCAGTCATTAGCTTCCTGGGAGTTACAAAGCCAGACCATGGTGGGCTTCGATCTGGAGACAGAGGGACATCACCCCAGACGTAGTAGAAGGCCTGCCTGTTCCACTCACTGGCTGCCAGCACCTTTGTTCTCGTGTTAGTAGTTACCCTTCCTTCCTTTGCAGACCCTCACCTGCAGGCCATAAGCACTGTCTTATGCGCTCTAAACTGTTCACGGCCAACCACAATGACAACATCAGTCAAGATGTCGCGGCTCCGGAGGCGATTAAGGTTGAGAAGAACATCACTGGCATGGCGGGTGAACTGGATACAGCTGTCAGCCGGTGAGGCCATCTTGTCTTCACCTGAACAAAAGAAGTCAAAATCCTATTAGTCCTCAGGAACTGTCCTTACCAGGGGGACCAGGCAGGTAGCTTAGCCTGATAAGGTATGGCAGCAATTCAGGTCACGTGTGTTTGATTGTTGAAAAACTCATAACCTATCTCTGGGTATTACTTTTCAGAGCTATAAAATATAGGGAGCTCTGTTGGGGAAAGGGGAAGGGAAAGATTCTGTGGAATGTTTTTCCCACATACTAAATACTCTGCCAAGCACCGAGAGCCAGTGAGTGTGCTTCGATGGAGAGAAACTTCATTTTGAGGGCTACCAGGCTAGCTCTGCCTTTGGCCAGCTGCGTGGCTTGGGCCAGGTTATTTACTCTTTCCAGGCTTTGGTTTGGTTATAGCTATACTTGTTGTTTTAAAAGTTAGAGATAGGTGCCTAGACTATAGTAGATTCTCCCCCCAAAATTATAGCTATTTTCATCGAAATCTAATTTCATTATCCCAGCCACACTCCGACTCTCTCCGTCATTGGGGCTGCAGAGTTGTTTTGCTTTGTACTTGAAATACCTGGCACCAGTACATCCTTAAGGCATGGTAGCAGCAAAGTTAGTCTGAATAAAGAAATGAGTCAGGGAATAACTGAGCATAAAACAGTGTTAAAATAGTGTGCAGGGAAAAGGGGACAGGGCTGGAAGAAATATAGAGGGACTTGTTTATCTTTGTCTCTTCAAACAAAAGATGTCAAAGTTCACAGAAATGCATGCATTAGCAAAATTAAAAAGGAACAGTTTGTCCACAAAATTTTAAAGCATATAATTACATCTACTTACCCAATGCCTTGCTTCACAGTGCAAAACTTTGCTTAAAAACTGCAAAGAAGAAACAGAAATTGATTTAATGAATGTAAGATTGTCCACTATAGTCTTATTTTAAGACACACGTATTTCGTTTTGCTTTGATAGTTGCAGCCTGCCAGCTGGTGCGGTTTCACCACAAGCTAGCAAACATATTCCAGTTCTGCTCTTACAGAAACAACAAGCACCCAAAGCTATGTGATATTAATGTCTTCACCCAGAGTACTGGCAATACTATTGCGCACATTAATTACATGGACATACAGATTTCCTTTCTCAAGGTAAAATGTTTATACCATCCAAAGGCCACTTGAGTTTCTGGGAAAGAAACAATAAGAAAAGTATTCCTTTCAATATCAATGATAATGATCCTTCAGAGGTTAAAAACACTGGACACTACTCAAAACCTGCTAAAATGTTATCTTTCGAGTCTTAGAATGATTCTACAAGGCTGATAGACTCAGTATCTTCGTCCTTATTTCACTAGTGACGAAACTGACCCAGGGGTTCAAGTAGCTTGCCTAGGACAAACAAGTAGGCAGTATTTCCTGACTCTCTGGAACACTTGAAGACAGAATACAGAGTCTACAGAATACAACCTGGGATGGCATGTCTTCACATTCCCGGGGTATCTTTGCCCTCTTTTTCAGAGTTTCCTCTCCCTTCCCTCCCGGGTCTATGACCAGTCAGAGTGCTACAGCTTCCCAGTTTGTGCTTCTGCCTCCTGGTGAAAGATTTAACTGTGCGGTTTAGCTGAGAACTAACTGGCCAGGGAGCACTAAACCTTAAAGAGATTTAATGAAATGTGTACTCTTTTCAAATTGGTTTCTCCAAAACAAAAAGCATGCAAGGCATAGGTGTAAGACTCCCGTTTATGATCGAATGTGAGCTGTAAAGGAAAACCATATCATATCGGAACTCTCTTGCCCCATTTGAAAAAGCATAGCTCTTTAGAGCTATTTTCCTGGGAAAAGGGCCTGAGGCCAGCGAGGTCATGTCGGGTCCTGTAGATGGTTGACGGCGGGGCCCTAGGTCTCCTAGCTCAAATTCCTGTCCTCTATCCAAATTGGCCTACGTGCTGTGGAACACACAAGGCAGCACCCTGAGGTGGGTGAATCTCATTTTTAAGTTCCTTCCCCCACACAGATACTTTGCTCCATTCCAGGATGCTGAGTCTTACCCAGTGTACACTCTAAAATGAGGTTTCCTTGAGTCTGTAACCAGACACACCAACATTTCTCTGTGGTTCCAAATGCCAGTCACTCAATCTCATGGGTTTCAAGGTTAGGGTGTGTATGTGAGTGAATCAGGATGGGGGAAGGACACACAGGAAGGCAGAGGACAGAAAAAGAAGCTATCTCCTCCTCTCCCCATCCTAACTCAAGATGGGCAAAGAGAGAGACACTAACGTGGTCCTGGCCAGAGTTCCTCGGTCATCTCCTTGGAAAAAGAAAGTTGAAGACACATGAAGTTTATTTAGCAATTCCTCTTCCTTCATGGAAGAGGTCCTCAAACATTTCTGGAATACTCGGGCTGTCCTTCAAACAGCTTTCAACCGCCAGCTGTCTTGTGGATTTCCAGTCCCAGACTTTGGGAACCACAGGAAGCCGAGATTTGCCATTTCACCATGACAAGTGGCAATGACTCATTCCAGATGCCGATTGAAACAAACAAAACAGTTCCCCCGTGTCCACTGCTAGCTCAGACTTGGGTTTTTCACTTTAAGCCTTTGCTTGGCCTGAACAAAAGGAAATGCAGCACAGTGGGCTGCATCCTTATGAAGTTCACGACTTTGTAAATTCCCTTTAGGTGTTGCAGATGTGGAAGCACCCCTGGAATTTGGTTTGGGCTTTTTCTTTTACAGATCACTGGCCTTTCTCACCCGTGACTGTATCTTGATAACAGCCCCGGTTTACTGTAGAGGAAACTGGGAATAAACTTCACCCAAGATTTCAAAGCCAATCCTCTAAGACAAACCTCGTTGTCTCCGGGCAGCAGCCACACCGATGCCACACACAAGACTCAGCCCATAGAAACAACCACCACGAGAAGAGAGCCATCCCCGGAACTACAAACTGCAGTGGTCAGGCTTGGACACGACTCCCCCGCCCCCACCAAGGAAGAGCTAAAGCGGTCTAGTGGAGTTCCACACCCTTTCCTCCTCCATCGAGCTTTCCTTGGGTATATACCATTAAAGGAGCTCCTCACGGGAGAAGAAAAAGGGGAGTCTCCCCGCCTCTCCAAAATAGGCAAAGAGAGAAAACAGCAGAAGTGGAAAGGAGCGAGGCCAGAGCAGAGAGGCGAGACTACGAGCAAGCAAGCCGTCCTTCTCCTCCCTCCTCCCCTGGGCTGGGACCAGGCAGCGCTCTGCGCCTGCTCGCTCCTCACGGCCACGGCCCGGACGCAGCGCGCGGTGCCGGCCTGCGCAGATTCGCCCACCCCAACGCACCGTACCTGTCTTCCAGGCACCGCCCACCCCCGGGCGCTCGGCGGGCACCGCAGGCACCGCAGCCCAGCCGCCTCACAGCCCCCGAAGGCGCGGCGAAGGCCGGGTGGTACGACCGTGGCAGCCCTTAATTTAGCTGCCCTCAAATAAAGGTTGTCCTGCACTCCGGCAGCTAACATTGTGTGCCCCCCTCCCCGACGCCGTCAAGGCAGGGGCAGTGAGGGGGACGGCACAGCCCTCTCATTCCCGGAACGGAGTCGATCTCGGCTCAGCGGATTTCACAGAACACTCTCTGCCTAGCGCCCGCTCCAGCGAGAAGCAACTTTCCAGGAAGCCGGCGGCCCGACGGCAGCCAGGACCGCTGCCTGCCGCGGCGCGGGCCCCGGGGGTTCACCGGGAGAGGGCAGGCTCTCGGGGAATTCGGTCCCCTTTCCCCTCGATCACTCGGCCCGCGAGGGCCAGGATCGGGGCTCCGGGTTCACCTAGTGCGCTCCCCTCCCCCCAGGCGCACACACAAGCAATTTATAGACGGGGAAGTCAGAGTTAGTAGCAGAGCCTAATATAGAACCCCGGAGTTTGGATGCGATCCGAGGCTCAGTCAAGGACCGGGTTGCCCAACTCTGGGTTTGCCGGGTGCCTCCTCTCCCTCCTCTCTCCTCTCTCCTCTCTCATCCTTTGCTACCCTCTCCCTCGCTCTTCAAGGCGATGGGTTAGGCTAGACGTCAAGGTCAGAGCTGGAATTCCTGAGGCTCAGCTCTCCGTCCCGTGCAACGCGGCCGAGTCGGAGCAAAACTAAACCGAAAGCCCCTTCCGCCTACGTCGGCAAAACCGGAGAACCCAGATCGGCTCGGTTTCCGCCCAAAGTCTTTAGAATCCGAGCTACCAGGCGGAACCTGGCCAGGTCTCGGTATTTCTGAATCCTATTTCCTGGAAACCGTAGAGATAGGGTTCTGACTCGGGAGGGGCCGGGGCGCCGACCCCAGCGCGCGCGCGTGCGCACTGGCGCGCTCCGAAGTTACACGGCCTTCCCAGGAATGAAACTCCTGAGTGCCAATTCCCAGCTCCAGGAGACGATGGGGGGGTGGGGGTGGGGGGTCTAAGAGCGGGACAGTCTCAGCTTCAGAGGCCTCAGTCCAGTCCTAAAACTAGGGGGTGACGCACGCACGGCGCCGCGCACCCCTTCTGCAGCGGAGGCGGGGTCAGGGTTTGTTCTCAAAGGCTGGGGCTTCGGGCCACGAAATGCTGTTTTGTGGCTTTCTCATCCCTCCTCCCGGTAGGATAAAGGCGGAAAAGGAGGCTGAGATTCTAATACGGGACAGGGGTGACACTCGGGGCAGTTAAAATGAAGTAAAAGGCACTTATTGTAAATTAGGCAACCCGCGGTTGGGGAGCGCAAACCTAAGTGTGTTTTTACCACTGCCTAACACTAGAGAGAGCCGTGCATCAAGGCCTGAAACCCGCAATTCCCCTTTCGCCCCGCCCCTGCTCCTCATTGACCTAGTTTGGCGGCAGTCTCCCGATTTGGAGAACGGCTTTACCCCTTCCCCCTCTCCTCTCTCTTCAGGCCGGCCATCCGATTATAGGTGCAATCTAATAACTCCGAAATCTCGCTGAGAAGTCCGAAGGGGCATCTGAAACCAAAGCACTCCTCAGGGGCAGGGGCAGGACTTTTAACAAGGCTGGGGCTGCCGCAGTGAACGGGCATCCATCCGGGCGCCTGCCGGGCCGTCCTAGGGTCCGGCACCCCGCTCTGGCGGTGAGGGTGAGGGCCAGCCCGCGGGGTGGAAAGGGGACACTCTTCGTGCTTTTGGCTAGAGGCTGGAGGAGGCGACAGTAGATAAAACGCGTTTGATAGCACGATGGCCTCAGCAACTGCCTTGGGTAACCGAGGTGTTCGAGGACATCGTGTCCTGACTTTCATTTCTATCACGGATCCTGTCAACAGCGCTGCTCTCGCAAGCCTGTAAGCTTCTAGGAAATGCAATAAAATAGAGGAATGTGTTTTATCACACAGATCTGAGGAGGACCAGCGAAGGGACGATCCCCGGACGCCCAGAAGGCCGGAAGACACTGCCAGAAAACAACATCCCCAGACACTTCTCTCCGGGCCTTGCGGATTGGACTGGGCTCGGCTTCTGCAAAAAAGGCTGGCGGGGGAGGAGAGAGGCATGATCTCCCCAAGCAAACAATGCCTTTTAAAATCTGATCTGGACCGAAATCAGGCAAAGTCTTAATTCACGTTAATGAAGATGGAAGGCACTAATTGTCCTTGGAAAGCGATGAGTCAACCTCACCGCACTTCAAACGCGTCCCCAAATTTGTTTCCAACACGGACAGAGGCGCATTTCTCTGACGTCCTCCGACAGCTCCCGCAGTGGGAGAGGCAGAACTGGATTCCGGCGGACTGGGGCGCCGAGAGCGCTGCATCCCTGCCGGGTGAGCGCGCCGGCCGCCGCTAGAGGTCGCCAGCACGCGGACGCGCGTCTGCCGTCTGCAAAGAGCTCTGAGTATGAAAACTTTACTGAGATGTGGCACAAATTCTGGAGGATTATCCTCTGCCTATCCATGTGACGCTCCTGCTGCTCCGCTCACACAATAGATGCCCACACTCGGCTTCTCGTCAGGCCCCTGAGCACAGGACAGAGGGAATTTTCGGAACCAAATGTGAGGCTCAGGATCAGTGTTATGCCCTGCCACAACTCTTAGGCACCTCGGAGCTTGGAGACACCCCACTCCTCAGCACCACCGTAAGCCTTTCATGTCTGTTACCAAAAATCTTGGGCTAATCTTTCTAAACAAATTTCTCCAAAACTGCTTGGAGCTCTTTTCCAGTATGCACTGGTCACTATGGTAACCTAAGAGGTTAAAAATCGGAGCTAGGACTGCTGCTTCTTTCTCTTGGAGACTTAAAGGAGCAGATATAAACTCGCGTTTGGCCATAAGTCATTTGCAAGTTTATAACCTGGTTCTGGCTAGGGCACTAGCAGCACTAACATGCCCCCTAATCGTTCCTGTTTCCTCAACTGCAAAAGAGTTTAAGTCCTAAAGACCCTGGGCTTTGGATGGCATCCTTCGACCACTATCCTAAGGCTGGGGGCACGGCGACAGGTACAAGATATTCTCAAAGAGGGCTGTTGTTTCTCTTAGCTGAGACAGCTGGGGATTGCTGAGCAACTGCGTGCGGGGGCAGGCATCCAGGACCTTTCAAATTTTCATCCGTCTCGTCCAAACTTTGGTGGTTGGATGCCATCCCAAAGTCTGATGAGTAGAAGGGGAGACCCAGAGGTGAAAAGATCCGGCCCACCCCAGACCGGGATCTTGACCACGACCCACCACTAGGTGGCAGACTCAGTCCGTCCGAGAATCAACGCCTGGCCAGAGCCTCCGCACCCGAACCCCAGCTTTTTTCATCTTCTGTGTTGGGGTGGGGGCGGGGTTGCTTCCCAAACCAAAGCTTGAAAACATTTACTTTAGTGGATAGCAGTCCCTTCTTCCCGGTGCTCACGTCTCTGGTCTCTGGCAACCACAACGCAGTATCTGGAGCTGCCTTCATGTATTTTACGGGATTTTTTGTTGTTTTTCCTCTCAAGAGCTGAAGGTAGAGTTAAGAGAAAGCGTGCACTTGTCTTCAAAAAGCAGAACAACAGCACTGGAAGGTATGAGAGGAGATTTTTTGCCAGACATTGGTTGGCTGGCAAAAGAAGAAAAAAAAAGTCGGGAATGAACTCTTGGTCCCCACGGAAGAAAGCAGCGCGGGCCGGGGAGGGGGGGCAAGAACCGAGTCCCACCCGGACTGACTGCGCCCGCCACGGCGCAGGGCTGCAGGACCGGGAGGGTCTTGCGGAGGCCGCTGGCTCGGGCTCAGGCCGGGAGGGTTGGCAGCGGCATCAGCTCCGGCTTCCGCGGGGGCGCGGAGAACCCGACTGCTCGGCCCCTGCGCAGCACGCGCGGGCCCACTTGTTGCGCAGTGCAGGAAAACCCGGCACGCACTGCGCTCTCCTGACTCCCAGGGAGGTGCAGGCCATGCGCTGTATGCCGTCCACAGACCTGACCCCCACCACCGCGGAAGGTGAAATTACTGCACTTCCAGCCAGGACTTTTTTTTTTTTTTAGACACCAAAACATTCCTCCTTATCTCAAAGTCAGACAGCGGCAGTATCCAGAAGCCCAGAGAAGTCAAGTCCAAAGGGAAGGGTGCTACCACGACCTGGAGAACTGTCTACTCAAGTCCAAGGGGCACCGCATCTTGCGCCCCTGCCCCTAAAGCATGGGACCTGCGTTGCCTACTGTGACACCATCCCTAGCTGGAAGGCAACGTTTTCTTCCCTCTTGGAGAGATCAACTGCGAAGTATTTCTTTTACAAGTTGGTTTTATCTCCCCTAGATTTAAGAAAAAAATTTTCCCCGGGGGAAAAATGTCTCATTAAGGTCATTACACAGTTATTTTTCAAATATTTAACTTTTTCCAATAGTTTCACT